CTCTGCTGTGGTGGGATCAGGTTTGTCGTGGATCCATTACTTCTTCTGCAGGGTAGTCTGTTAACTTCAGTTTTGATCTATGTAACTGCAGCATTTGATTAATGTTTTATGTGCAGATGGGAGAGGTGAGTGGATAACCAGACTCAAACCTACTGCTTCAGCACATTTCTTGATGAATAACAAGTTATTTCTAGAGCAGTAAGAAAACCAGTTAGTGCAGTGTGTGCATATGCTTCCTGCAGTGTAAATGAGCCATTTACTTTGATGTGCCCTTTTAAAAATAGGGACTGAAATTGAAAAAAACATTCTGTGTTGTCTTGTGTCATCTGTTCATGACAGGTTTAAAACCTCATGCTATGAATGGCAGGGAACCTGTTTCATTCATATTGTTCAGGGATTTTGTCTGTGATGTAGATACCTGATTGATGTATGTTTTATGTGTTAGGATAAACAAGCACTTGCTGATCAAAAGAAAGCCAAGTTCCATCAAACAGAAGGTGACCACCTCACGCTGCTGGCTGTGTACAATTCCTGGAAGAATAATAAGTTTTCAAATCCCTGGTGCTATGAAAATTTTATCCAGGCCCGATCCTTACGCCGGGCACAGGACATTCGCAAGCAGATGTTGGGCATCATGGACAGGTGAGCCTGTCAAGGAGGACAAGTACTGACTTTGTTTCTTGCTTTCTTACATTGTAATAGCTAAAGAAAATTTGCTAAACTGATCTTGGTAGCTGCATCCAAATCTGGAGAGTTCTGATCTTTTTCTCTCTCGTCTGGCAGGCATAAGCTGGATGTGGTGTCCTGTGGGAAGGCAACAGTTCGGGTCCAGAAGGCCATTTGCAGTGGCTTCTTCAGAAATGCAGCAAAGAAGGATCCCCAGGAAGGGTACAGGACACTCATTGACCAGCAAGTTGTCTACATCCACCCATCCAGTGCTCTCTTCAACAGGCAGCCTGAGTGGTAAGGAAGGCAATAGTATGTAATTTCCTGTTTCTCTTGGACTTTCTAACAGAAAATCGTGGTGTGTGCTGTTTGTGGAGTACAGACCTGAGCAGAGGCTGCTGATTCCTTAGTAGTCAGCAGACTGAGAAAAGTTTCGAGTCTACTTTTATCTCTTTCTGCTGCTGACCTTAGTGCCTGTGCAGAGATGAGACTGACTTTTGGAGCCAAGGCCAGGCCTGAAGTTTGCAGCTGTGTGTTTCTTTATTGTTGAAGTGAGTTTAGGAATGAAGGAATTCTGTGCTGAAGAGTAGTTCTGAAGTAGGAGAGGGAAAATAGGGATAGCTCCTCTGGATGGTTCTAGAGCCTTCACTGGAGCTTAAAAGGTGCAAGCTTAGCTACTCCAGCCCTTGTCTTGTTGCTTCTTGTTAGAAAAACCTGATTTCCAGAACTGCTGTCCCTTTTCACAGGGTGGTGTATCACGAGCTGGTGCTGACCACCAAGGAATACATGCGGGAGGTGACAACCATCGATCCTCGCTGGCTGGTGGAGTTTGCCCCAGCTTTCTTCAAGGTCTCTGATCCAACCAAGCTGAGCAAGCAGAAGAAGCAGCAGCGGCTGGAGCCCCTCTACAACCGCTACGAGGAGCCCAACGCCTGGAGGATATCCCGTGCGTTCCGGCGGCGATGAGCTCGGCTCCCTCCTGCGCTCTGGCTGCTTTCATATTTGTGGGACTGGGACTTTTGCACTGTTGCCAGTGTCCTGGGAGACAGACATTGCCATAAAGCTCAGCTGTGCAATGAGCAGGCAGTCAGCCTTGGCAGAACAGGAGCTCAAAGGGCACCCCAGATGTGCTGCAGCTGCACAGGCCACTGCAGCCTCTCAGAAGTGGGTTTTGGAGCACTTTAGTGATTTCCCCTTTTAAGAGACAAAATTAACACTCAGAAGTCTACGTACTGAGCTGAATAACACAAAAAATGGTGATTTAAAACTGGTTGTTCACCAACCTGACTGGGTTCTGAGTGACCAGACAAACAGAAGTTGGAATAGTTTGTTTCTTTACCCTGCTAAAAGGGATTTATTTCTACTTAACGTTCTTGGTCAGTGACTGCTTTTTGGGAGCAGCCTCTTCTCTGTTTTACCAAGTTTATGCATTTTCCCATTCAATGTAACTATTTGTCTTTTATTTAAGTCATCTGTGGTGAGATATTTAGTATCTCTGGCTTTGGGATAAGGTACAAAAAAATCTTGAAACCCAGCTAGAATATATTTGGACAATGGCACAGGTCAGACTGCAAGCCTTACCCTTCATCCCCATCCCCTGGGTGCTGAAGGGATTATCAACTAGTAATTACCACATCCCCTCTGCAGCACAGTTCCATCTGGAAATGTAAGTGGTTACAAATGTTTGGACCTTTTGGACCATATGCTTTATTTTCACTTAGAATGTTTGGTGATATCACAGCTGTTGGGTTTTTGTAATAGAATGAGCTTTTACAGATAAATGTCTGTAAAATTTGTGTAGCAGTTTCTTGTTTTAAAAAGAAGTTGACTGCCCAGTTTGTGCTATATCATGCCCAAACTATCTGTAAAATACTTTATTTTGTGGCTAACAGATGAAAATTATTTGACTCCATAGCTCCAAAAACCTTATTTTTTTTTCCAAAGCTGGGACATTTGCTAAAATTATTGTTGAAAGGAAGATAATCAGGATGACTGGTTGTTTTACACAGTGAACTGGAAGAATGTTTCACACTGAAAAGTAGCTATAATGGAACTGCCTGTCTGTACAGTGATGAGCAGGGCTGTTGTTAAATGTCCTGAGTTTTTCCTCATATTACATCATCATAAAATTAAAGGGAATTACAAAGTTTGTAAGTTTGGACTCAGAGAGTCAAAGCAAAAAGGACAGGAATGGAAGTGCCTCCAAAACATGCTAAAAGCTAATTTAGGGAACTAGAAACAGGTGCTATGAAGCCAAAGCTCAGCAAGAACTGAGGTGCCATGAACTCTTTCAGCTCCCCTGAGACATCTTCCTCTCCTGCTTTGCTTTCTCACCTGATACTTTCCATAGTTCCCTAGAGGCCAGGAGAATGGTTACTAACATTCTGAGCAGAGCCTGGGAAAGCTTCAGCAAGCTGCTCTTTCTGAAGAAGGCAGGCACAGCAAAGCCTTCAGGAGTTTACAGCTCCACCAGAACCTGTGGCTGTGCTGTGCACTGCTGAGGCCACATCTCAAATCCTACATCCAGTTCAGCCCCTTCACTACAAAAAAGATGTTGAGGTGCTGAAAGTGTCCAGAGATGGCCAATGGAGTTGGGGAAGGTGTTATGATGCAATTGTTAGAGAGATGTTTCTGCCTGAATTAAGATACAAACAAGACCACATGCTGAAGTCAATTGTAGGGTTATTATTTAACTGCAAATATGAGGTAGAAAAAGAGAAATAAATAGGAAAAGGAGAAGTGGGGAGTGAGAGAATGAGAGTGACAGAGAGACAGATTAAGTAAAAAGCTATTCATGTTGTGGATCCAGTGGTGTCCCATTGATTCTCTTCTTCTGGTCTTGGTGGTTCCACAAAACATGGGCTTCAGAGGGTTGATAAACATTCAGGTATGGATGGGAATGCCCATGCACTTTCCTGCTGGGGGGACAGTTCTACACTGGCTTTTACAACAGACTGGTTCTCCTGCAACACTTGTCAATCCTGTGCAATCTTCAGAAGTCTGGGGCACTCTGTGGGAGTCTTTGATGACTTGTGATCCCTTCCAAGACTGCCTCTCATGTGAATGTGACCTGGGGATGGGCAGTGTGTTTTACAACAGAGCCAGTTTGTGTAAGGGAGGACTCGGCAGGGGCTTGTAGCCTTCTTACCTGCCTTGTAGCCAGGGGATGGGTGTTCCCCACCTTGTTCCAGACCTTTGGAAATTGCACTCAAAAACTCCCTTCCCCTTTTGCCTGGGGGGGGAGAATCTGCAAACCTGGCCACAGCAAATGAGTGGGCTCTGCAGCTGAGCCCAGCCAGAGCTAATTTTTGGGTTGGCCTTTCCTTGTGGATGCATCCTTGTCCCCCAGCCTTGTTAACTGCACCTTAGACCTGAGATAACTGGACAATAAGGCCATCTTTATCTTATCTCTAGTTCCTGTCAAGGAGTCCTGTTGTGGGGAGTGGGGTGGGCTTTGGTGCAATTGCTTCTTTGCAGTTTGCTAGAATGGACAAAGCCTTTGGGTGATTTTAACCAAAGTTTGAGCCATTAACTATTTTAATCTCTCTCAGAAGGGTCTGGAGCACAAGTCTGATGAGGAGCAGCTGGGGGGCTCAGGAGGGATCTTCTCACTCTACAACTCCCTGACAAGAGGTTAGAGCCAGGTGGGTGTTGGCTTCTGCCAGTGGTAGTCCAAAAGGAAATGGCTTCAAGTTGTGCTAGAGGAAGTTTTGACTGGATATTAGGAAAAATTCTTCATTGAAAGAGTTGTCAGGCATTGGCATGGGCAGCTCAGGACAGCAGTGGAGTCACCACCCTGCAGGGAATTTAGAAGGCAGGTAGATGTGGTTCTTAGGAATAAGCACAAGTTCTCAGTTTCTGAGTTGTGTGGGAGCTGTTTTATCTCCTTCATGGGAGCTCCTGGTCATTTTCAGGACCAGCAGGAGGACTTTAGGACTCTATTACTCCCATACCAGTCTAGCTGAACTGGAAATGCTGAGTGTATTTATTGACTCCCAGCTCTCTGATCTGGATGTTACGAATCTCTGAGCTTTGGAGGTGACTCCCCCTCAACGAGGGGAACCTTACCTTGCTGATTCCTGGAACTGCTCTGTGGCTGTTGATCTGTTGCCCTGACTTGAGAAACCTGAATGAAATGTGCAGCTAAAATTGCATTGAAATGTATGAATTTACTCCCTGAATTCCTGTTCTGGAAGCAAGGGCAGAGGGGTAGCCCAAAGGATACTGGATAAATGTAAAGTCTTTGGGAATCCTGCAGATGGAGGTGTCAAAGCTGTGAGCTGGTGCCAAGGACAAGTGCAAAGCAAACTCAGAAAGTAAAGAGGATCAATCAGTGAAGTTGTGCTGGCCAAAGACCAATTTATTAGTTGTAGTATTTTTACACTCATAAATAGTAAAGGCAGTTATACCAAAGGAAGGGTTCCCCTCCACCCTCATTCCTGGGACAGCACAGGAACCGTGCTGGCCAGGGAGGTGCAGGGCAAGGCAGGAGGGTCAGGAACTGTCAGAACAGCAAGACTCTGCACAGGGGCCTGCAAAGGCAGCAGCAGAGCAGACTGCTCTGAGGAACCTGGCCTCTCCTCAGGCAGGGAATGCTGCCTTTCATGGGTTGGCATTAGCCATGCAGGGGAGAGTCATCAGGGGAAATCAAGCTTTCAGTCAATATACAGAACTTTTTCTACAGGCTACCATGCTGGCAGGATTGACAATGCTCTGTATTCAGCAGCTGAAACATCAATCTGAAGCAGTGGAAACAGACTTTTTTCTGTATGAATGCACTGCACTGCTCCTTGTCTAACTGGGAACGTGGTGGAGCTGCTAATTAAAAAATTTAACACATTTTAATCAGGATGTAGTGCCCATTAGAACTGTTTACTGTGGTGGAAAACCTGCCAGTTTAGTTAAATTGCATGTGCTGCATTGGACTGCAGAGAGAGCTGCCTTTTTCTCACATCCAAATTCCCCTCAAACATGCAAATATTTGGGTTTAAGTCTGAATTCCTGTATTAAGATCTATGTATGGTTTAGGTTACTTTGTATAGCATTTTTTAATCACACCTCCACCAGGTTCTTCTCTTGCCTCAGACAATTCTCTAGCCAAGGCCAGGATGGGCACACTTTTATTTTTTAAACTTTGAGAATGTCCCATCATAATGTGAAAAAGCCAGGGAGACTTGAGACATCTGGAACATTTTTGAGACTCTGCAGAAGCATTCAGGTGCTACTGCTCTCCGTTTACATCATCATCATAACTCTGGAAAAATGTAATGCCTCCTTACCTGGGAGAGCAGCAGCAAAGTGTTCCACCAGGAGCTGCCAGAGCCTGGCAGCTCTTCAAATAGCCTGAGAATGTTTGTTGAAGAAGTTTTAAAGTTTGGAAAAGTCACACCACTACACTGAACTGGTGTCTCAGGCCTTGCTGCTTCCCAGTCCCTCTACCCGATGGAGGCATTGGCTTTGATCTGTGTCCCAGACCAGTGCAATCACACTCCTCTGTTCCCCAAAGTGGCTTTGGGCACGTTCTGATCCTGGCCATCCTGCTCAGAGTGCCTGAGTACCAGAAACTCCTGGCACGAGCAAGGAGGTGAAAGACAGGAGTGTGAACCCTACAAGACAATGAGTACTCCTCAAGGAAGGCCCAAGGTCTGTGACCATTGTCCTGCAGGCAGCCTGGGAAGAAGGCTTAACTGGCCTTTCAGAGGGAGTTCCTCTGGTCAGAGCTGAAAGCAGGTCATACAGAGGTTCAGGACAGCTACTGAGGAATGGAATCAGCAGCAGCATTGTAGCATTCTCATATATAAGAAAAAAAGCAAACCTGGTGGGGCAGCATCCTGTCCCTCTGCAATGAGGGGGATTGTGAAGGTGTTTGATACGTCTGAGGCACCAATTACCTGATCTGCTGCTGGAGCTGTAGCTCTGCTGCTGGGATGCCTGCAGGGCTGAGAACGTGCCCCATCCTGACAGAGTGAGAGTTTTACCACAAGCACACAAGAGCCCTGTCTGCTGTGGGGTGATCACCCACTTGTGTACCTGAGCTCTTGTCCTGCCCAAAGCAGGGATCCAGAGTTGGGTGCTGGCCTGAACAAATGCTGACACTGGTTGAACACTAACCAGCCATCTCCTTCCATCCACAACCACAGCACAGTGCTCCCAGCAGTGCTAGTACGTGTAGCCTTTGCTGTAGAGCTCTGGAGGGAAGCTCCCAAGCTCTGGCAGGTAGGAGCCATTCTCATCCAGGTGAGAGAGAGGCACCGTGTCCTCCTCGCTGACCTGCCGGTCGAACTCTGCCTTCAGCGCCGGCCGCTGCTGCTCGGGGAAGGCCATGGAGAACAAAGCTTCAGGCTCACACACAAACTTGTACACGTAGCGCTCCCCAGCCACCTGCAGGGACAATACCAGGGCAGCTGAGTGCTGCAGGCCCAGGGGCAGCACCAGGGAAGGCTTGCAAAAACATCTGCCTGCCCTGAGACGTGGCAGTCAGAGTTGTACATTTCTCCTTGTGCTGTCCTCTTGTTTCTCCGCTGCTCTGACCTCCCCTGGAACAGCTCCTGGGAACTGGGATGCTGCCAGCTGACACTCTCTGACCTGCTAACAACAGCAGCAGCAGTCCCTGAACAGTCTGTAGTGTTACACCCCCAATTATCTCTCCAGGGTCCTGGGTGTGCCACAGACCATCCCTACCACACAGGACCAAGTTCCAGGCAGCCTATCTCTCACCAGAGGAAGGAATGATTACACCTCCGTGAAGCTGCATAAATTCCAACTCTCCTGACTGCAGCCATATACAGAAAAAGAAAGAAATAATAATTCCTCTTTGTTTTATTTCTCATTGCCTACATTCAGCTCCTTCACAGCTTCTCCATTTAGCTACAGCAAAGAAAAGTTTTGGGGAGAGCAAGCCTGGGATCCCTGGCTAGCTCAAGGACATTCTGTCTGTAGGACTGCTTGTCTCAAACAAGAGAAGCATAAAGTTTAAGCACAAAGTTTAAAGCACGAAGTTTCCTCCTGCTTTGCAAACTGACCTTCTGCATGATTCCTTTCTCATAATAGTAGCGCAGTGATCGGCTCAGCTTGTCATAGTTCATAGCAGGACGGTTCTTCTGGATCCCCCACAGCCTGGCCACCTGCAAATAAAGCACCAAAACTCTGGGAATGTCTGTGAACCCAGCCCAAGAGAAAAGAATGCTCTCCAGCTGGTTCTCTTTTCACAGATGGTACCATGACACACACAAACGTTTCAATAATAGACTCATCAATAATTTAGCAGCTTTTTAAACATGAGTGAACTCAAACACTGTCTCACAGAGAAATTCTGGCCACTACAGAGTTCATTTGCTGTCAGTACTCTGAAAGCTTGAGGATGCTAAAGGGCCTCTTTATCCTATGTTACACTTAATTTTCAAGGGTCCCAGGTATATCAGGAGCCCAATCCTGAGGGAACACACTGGAAGAGAGCTGTGCCTTCCTACTCCTACATGATTTTCAGCTTTATCCACAAGACTCAGAAGTCTGCTGTAAGCTGATGACAACTTGCCAAGACAACTCACTTGCACTGAAAGTGCCCATAAATTTTGATATGTAGCAAGAACAGTGCTAAATGCAGCTCTAATTGGAACAAGATATGAACAGATATTAATGGACATTTCTCCCCAGTACTGTCATGTATCACTGGGTGTTTTTGGAACATGGCAGCATTTGAAATTGCACTTCAGAGAAAGTAATTTTGAAATAAAGATAGGCTAGGATATATCTGCTTCCAGATTCTTATGAAAACTTCTGCAATCAGTAGGGTTCAAAACTCCAAACCTCAATGTCAGCCTCAAGTATGGAGCATGAAAAGACAGCACAGGTCACTGCAAGCTTGAGAGTGAAGTGTCCAGGGAAATGGAGGCAGTGGATAATTTGACTCACTGCCTTTCTTAAACCTGATATTTGTGTCACTCAAGTTTTTGACCTCTTCTAAAAATCCTGACTTGCTTCAGGGTCTAGCAAGTATGACTGGCAGGCAGAAGCTTCACAGGGCAGAGGAAAAGCCACTTGAGAATCTGCAGCCCCAGAAACAGTGGGTGATTTCCCTGAGCCTGTAGAGAACCTCAATGGCTTCACCTCCTCTGGCTCAATCAGCTTGAACTCCATTCCTCTGCCAGTCCAGGCAATGAAGTGGGAATTGGTGGGATTGTCCAACAGAGCCACCAGGAACTGCCAGAGCTGCAGCGATCCCCGTCTCTGGTAGGGGGGTCCTTCCCGGTACCCTCCGCCTTCCTGCTTGATGTCTCCTGCTGAGAGGAACAAACAGGATGTTTCTAAGGAGAACAGTGCCATTGGGGAAAAAGGGGGAAAAAAAAAGCAGCACATTTCAGTTTCACAAATGTTTACCTTATATTTCAGTTCACATACAACAGTGGCCAATTCACAAGCAACTCTTCCAAGAGCAGCTCTGATATATATCACCATTAAGCCACTTATGCTAGAGGGCCTGGTTGCTGCTAAGAAAGCTCAAAAAATGGGATTCCAAAAAGCTGGGTACAAACAAACCTACAAGAACTGTAATGAACTACATAGGCATCAGTCTAGTGGCTGGCTAAGATGATGAGTAACCCTGTCTTACACCAAAACTCCAAGCCATTCTTTCTCCAACCTTCAAATTTTTCTGGAACAACACAGACATCATCAGTAAAGGACCTCATCTGCTTGTCATAGCTGCAGCCTGAAAGAGAAAGCAACATCAGCAGTCACAGCCAGCCAGGGTGGTACCAGAGGACAATTCAGTGCAGGGAAAAGAAGACAGTCTCTGCATTTCTTACCTAATGTATCTTCTGTATTTGAATGGCTTGGGTAACTCTCAGCGTTTATGTACATGGAAGAACAGTCAGGAACATCTACAGAACAATTAACAAACTCATTTATTTAAAAAGCACAGGTGGCAAAATTATCTTGCACTGCAAAGGTGGATGGTGAGTGCAGCTGTCCAACCAAGGTTCTCCCAGAGCCCTCCTGAGGGCTCAGCCTGGTAACCACAGCTTCATCTGCATCATCCTTCCAATCATGAATTAGAGCAGAAAGATTCTGTGTACCACACACCATCCTTCAGAGCAGCCAGGACAGCCAGCCAGTCACCTCTACATCACTTTTATACAAAATCATGGACAATAGGCTACATATGAACCTCTCTCTCACCCCAGTTTAAGATAATTACACACTTTTCTGCTGTTTTCCCAGGTAAGAAGGCATTTCATTTTTCCAGGGCTATGATGATGATGTAAATGAAGAGCAGTAGCACCTGAATGCTTTGCAGAGAGTCTCACAAATGTAATTTCAGATGTCTCAAGTCTCCCTGTTTTTTTCACATTATGATGGGCAATTCTCACAAATAGTTTAGAAAATAAAAAAGAAAAAACAGCCTTTGTTTATAACAAGCAGGAAGTCTTTTCCTGTTCCTGTGTGTAGTGTATAGTGCTGTCTGTACACTGCATTTTGTGTCTCCTGTATCAAATTTATTTATTGTACACAGCTGAAATTGGGAGCTTTGGAAAGGTTTATGTTACATTTCCCTCACACACCTATGCTGGCCATTGCTTCCAGCAGATATTTTGCTGATGCTAAGGGAAGTAAACTCTGAGCTGACAGACTGGGTGTTATTACAATCATAAACTACTCTCACAAAAAACACATTCCTATCTTCTGGGTTTGCACATTTGCTGAACAGAAGGACCCAGTGAAAGAGTAATATCAATATCACAGTGATACCCTCATAGGAGCTTTTTATTTATGTGTTTATTTCTGCTAAAGGAAACAATTCAAGATGCCCATTAAAATACCAGGAAACCAGAAGTACCTACATTCCCTCTGGAAGAGGATATTGTGATCTCAGGGTAGTGAGTCTTTGGACAGATCTGCCAGAAAAATAGGATTTATCCCTTGTGGAAAAATAAGGGGATCACCTGGTGGATCTGGCATCTAGAGAGCTATTTTTGGCATTATAAACTTTTTTCTTGTCATCCCCTAAAATCTCTGCTCTCTGAGCCTTGTTCCCATGGGAAGTAGCAGGTGGAAGCTGATCCTCCAAGGGACACCAAGCAGCACCCTGACACTGAGCTGAGCCCACCCAGAGCCCCCTTCCTCTGCCAGAGCTCAGAAAGGCCTCCTGCTGCAAGGATCCAGGGCAGTTTTTCTATGCAAGGTCCAACATATTTGATTCCTTCCTCTCTGCTGCCCTTTACAGACCATTTTCAGCTCAGTTTCAGAGCTGACCTCACTTATTTTCTGCAACATTCCAGCTCACAAATACCCCAAAGACAAAAAACTCCCTGTGAAACTGGCAACACCCCTTTCTTCATTTCTGATGGTGTGAGTGTGCTAATCATGAATTTTGAGAGTCTCCTTATTGGCTACATACTCCCTTGGGTGGGAAAACCCCAAACTGCTTTGAATGGATTTAACATCACCTTCTACCTCCCATCTTGTAAAGGCTTCAGCTCTCTGACAGAAAGCCATGGTGAGTGTCCCAGCCTTATCTTGGCTGCAGTGAAGAGACAGAACTGTTTTATTTCCCTGGTGCCACCCCCAGACAACACAAACTCCCCATTCCCAGCGGGTGCTGTGCCAAAGCTCAGCCAGCAGCAGTGATGGATGCTCACCAAGGAGCTGCTCACCCCATTTCTGCCTGCTTCACACAGTCAGGAAGAGCCAGTTCTGCCTACCTGAGTCGTACACGTAATCCACCTGCTCCTGCTTGACCACCACAGCTGGGAACTGCTGCCTGCTGCCCGCCCGCTTCTCCTGCTCGTACTGCGGCTCCTGCTGCTCCTGTTTGAAGCCCTGCTGGGGGTACTGGAGGCAGGGCTTGGGAAGCTGGCACTGGTAGGCAATGGGGTCCTGCTGGGCCATGCCCTGGGAGGGTGGGAAGGAATGGCACATCTCCACTGGTGGCTGATACGCAGAGCTAAGGAGGGAGAGGATGTGAGAGAGCTGCTTTCTCGGCCCTCCGCTTTCAGCTGAGGGACAGAAACTTCCTCAGAAGGATCTTACACAGCCCATCACCCACAGAACGTGGCAGTGTTAAGGTTATGGCCATCAAACCCCAGGCAGCAGTGGTGGGTCCCACAGGAGGGATCCCGTGCTCGCTGTAAATGCAGGAACACTGCAGCCCTGCCTCCTTCAACCACCAGAGAGGGCAATCCCTGCCTGTGGCTGCCTCCCCTGGCAGTAACTCACCTGTTTTCACTGAGGTATCCACAGCTGGATGTGGAGTGGGGTGGCCCTGCAGGGGTCAGGAAGCTCCTGTCCTGTCTGGGGAACTGTTGGAGCGGTGGCTGAATCAGGACTCCGGGGCTGGGGGACTCTCTGGGTCGGTCATAGGCACTGGAACAGCCAAACAGATATTGCAGCATTTCAGTGCTCCAAGAAGGACTCGTGGCAGCACCTGGAACACATCAAGTGTGCTGTCCCCACTCTTGGGCCAGAAAATCCCAGCATAAACTCCCTGCTGTCTCGCTGTTTCTTCAAGCAGAAAACTGGGGAAGGTGTCTGTGCTGGAGAAGCCACAGCACAGCTCAGACAAGTGGGGTCAGGTGTGGGGCAGATCTTGGAAAGCAGTGGGGAGAGGCAGGTGGTAGATGTCAAGATTGCTGAGTTTGAGGATGGCTGAGGGACAGGGAGGATAAAAAAGGGAGAATAAAAAGGAGGCAAACCCAGAGCTGATGTTCACAGGCTGAGCCGCCCATGGGCAGTCCTGGCTGGGGGCCAGAGCTGATGAGCTGTGCTCAGCAGACAGACAGGGCTGCTGCCACACTCTCCATCAGCAGCTAATGCAGAGCACTTGATTTCAGAGCAGCTGCTGTGCCCTGTCTGTGGGAGCCACGTTACCTGGCATAAAGGCACTGCTCGCTGTTGTGCTGGAACGGCTGCTCGTGGCTGCAGGGCTCCGAGGGGCTCTGGGGCTCCTCTTTAACCTTAGCAGGAGGACTGTGAAAGGCTACTGCAGGAGAGAAAGGAAAGATCAAATTGGCACTTTTCTTCCTTATGGGGAGCTGTGATTATCAGGCATTTCCAAATGCAGGAGTCCCCTTGCTGAATCTCTGCTGTGCTAACAGCAGCACCCCTGAATGTGGGACCGGGAGGTCTCAGAACCACTCAGCTCATCCAAAACACCAGTGACAGTCCAGGGAAAAAAAATAAAAAGGTTTCTTTCCATTTTCAGTGCACTGGTCATGGCAAGTGCCTGATGCAGACAAGGAGGGATATTCCTGGGCTTGTCAGAATCTCATGAATAACAAATGTGGGTTGCAGTTTACAGCACCAGCAAGTGGCATGTGGGTGTTTACTTCTTATGCTTTATTCAATCCAGCAGGAGACAAAACTTGCTTCATAGTTCCTCAGAAAGGCTTGTCCTGGCTGAAGGATGGGCTGAGCATCTTCTACCATTGCCTGTGGGTTCTGCTGCTTCTCTGAGGAGCATTTAGGAAGGAAAGTATCCAGAAAGGTACCTAAGTCTAGGCCATCTTTTCAAATTAGGGAAGGATCAGCCCTCCAAATCCAAGCTGTAATCTTTTAGTAAGGCCATCTCCAGTCCTTCATCACCAGCTTACTCCCACCTCTTTATGTCCCATGGTGCTGCTGTGTCTGGGATTTTCAGCACTGTGACTGCTTTTAAGGATGGGAAGGAACATCCTGATCCATTAACACCTCATATTTTTGATGAGTTTATTTCAGGAGTGACCTGAACCTGCACCAGCCGTTTTCAAGCCACTTCTCCCTCACATCAAGGACTAAGAGCCCCTTCAGAAGCAAGCAGCTGGCTAAAGGGCCAGAAAAAGGGCTTTGCTGCCTCTCATGGCACAGGACACTTCTATTATAAACATCCTCCCCCAGAATTAATTCTCACACCAAGAGGGGGATATCTGCCCCTTCCCCCCCAAAAAAAACCTGACTCCTTTTGGCCCATTTTGCCAGCACTCAGAGAGCTCGACAGACTCAATATACATAAATAAACCCACAAGATCCCAGAGCTTTCTGTTGTTCCTGGCTCCCACAGCTGCTGCCACTCGGAGCAGAGGAGCTCCACAAACAGCTCTGGGCACTGCCCAAACTGAGAGAGGGGAGAACACCTGGTCTCCACACACCTGGGGTGGATTCAGCATTCCAGGCACGACACTCCTGCATCTGTGCAAAAGCCCAGACCCAAGGGAGGGCCAGAAGAGAAAAGAGTTTTCTGTGTCTGTTTTCTTGTCAATGTCTGGATGTATGCAGCGTGTCTGAAAATGCTGATGGATCAGCTGAGTCTCAGGGGGGAAAGATCTGCTCTCTCCAGGACACTGAACTGCATGGAATTTTCAAGAAGCTGGATTTGTTAGGAGCAGCCAATTCTTTCCAGCCCCTAATAGCTGGAACAGGCTATCACATTACACCTGACTCATTGATGCACTCAGAGTGAAATGTGGGACCATCCCTCTCCTCAGTTCTAGGTCAAAAAGAGAAAGAAATAAAATCTATGGCTCAGAGACCAAGCTGGGCTGCAGGGCCACGTCTGGGGAAAGGAGGAAAACAAGAGCAAGCAGTAAAAGTGTTTAATTTCAGTTTACATGGGGGAAACTGCCTGAGGCAGGGGGGAAAAGGCACCAGAATTTGGATTTGCCCTTCCCCAAGAGACATGAACATCCCCATGCTACTTACAGTTTTCTGAATGGAAGTCAGGCACAAATTGCTCATCATTGTCTGGAACCTGAGCTGTCAGGAGAAAGAGGGAGGGAGGAGTTAGTTTTGGCACTTTGTACAGTATAATTAACACTAAGGCAGAAATAAATCTGTGCAGGAAAGATCTGAGCTTTCTGCAGGGATGATTTTAGTGACTAAGGGTAGTTTCCCTTTGGGATTAATGAATACATGTGTGTCCTGGGACAAACCTTGGGGAGAATCCTCCCCCTGTTTTATAACTTCTAACAATTACTTTTACATCCCTTTTACTGCAGGGAAGGGAGAGCTTGCAGCAGATTGTTGTTATTTCATAAAGCCTGTCACTGCTGCTGAAGGAAATGCTGCTGCTAGTACAAAACAGACAAACCCACAATTTTTGTTATTGCAGAGTGGACAACAGATTGCACTCAGCTCTAAAACAGAGGTGATGTAGTCAAAATTAAGGGACATAAAGGATAAAGCCCACAGCTTAATCTCAGCTGAAACTAAGCTAGACTAGACATGCCAAAAATAAACCTCAGGGAGTATCACTGTGCTAACAGGTGGTGAAAAAGAATGGAACTGGCCAAACCCTTCACTCTGCAGTTGCTGCTCCTTCAAATAACCTGTGTGCCAACAAACTGGAAATGTAAACAATACAAGATGGGGAACTGAGGAAAAAGCATCTAGAAAATTCATTCTCTGAATTAGCTTTGAAAAGCGACATGGAAATAGAGGAAATGACAGGGATCATATTGCATGAGCAGAATTTGAACTTCCCAGCCTTGAGGCTCTCCATGGCATCACTGGTGATGTCACAAGAGAATTAAATACTGAAAGCAACAGGCTGCAGAGCAGAGGTGAAATGAAGGGCAAGGCTGGAGTGAAAGCATCTACTCTCACTGCTGGGCAGTGATGTTTGCACACAGCTACAAGCCTGGGCTACAAGTCTAAAGAGACATTTGCCAGAAGATAACTTCAATTTTTATATTCACTACCTACTTTATATAGTTGCAAACCAGGTATTTTCTTGTTCTCCCCGAACCAACACAGGTACTTGGAAGACCTGGGATAATTAATAAGACATCTAAACCCAGCTCTGGTCTTGTTCCAGTCTCTCAGACTGCAACACTGACCCCACCATTTCCCACACAGCTTCCAAGAGCTGGAATGCTGGAACTTAAATTTTCTGCCTAAGGACACCTGGAGATGTGAATCTGCTCCTTGCATCCATCACAGCACCTGCCTGTGCCTCTTTTCTCCAAGGAAATTTCCTTTTGTTTGTTTCTCTGAATGCTTCTATAAATTATTTGGCTCAGAGTTAATTCCATGCAGTTACCAACTTGGTAACACACCCAAGTCTGCCAGATCCTGGTAAAAACTGCAGAGGAAAACTGGATTTTTAGTAACCAGGCCTAGGATTTCTCAGTATGAGTTTCTTTTAAGAGCCATCTACAGGCAGAATAATTATTTGACTCCCAAAAAGAGAAAACAACTGTTAACTGACACTGCTAAAAGTATTTTTAAAAGATAACAAAGAGATACACCTATGATTGAAATCACAAAAATATATGTAGTGACACACATAAACATATATACAGATGTATACATGGTTTAAATTCATTAACATTTTTGGCTGATGCCTTATTTCTAGTTTGCTTCCTTCCCTTTTATTTAAAAAGCAACACAAAAAACTGTAAATAAATATTTTTTTTTTTCTAAATCAAATGTGATAAGGGAAAATAATAAATAACATATTTATGTTTTCCCTTTTTCTTCTGCATTGTTTAGGAAGGTACTCTTCAGTGTTCTGATGCCTTCATCTCTAGAACAAATGTTGACAGGGAGGCACACACAGGACATTAGTAAAAAATATTTTCACCATTCAGGAAGATATTTTGACATACTGGTGAATAGGAAAAAAAAATAGTTTGCTTCAGAGGGTCATTTTTCTTGTTACAAATCTGGAAATGGGAGCAACCATGGGAGAAGCCAGTTCTTCTATATGCAGGCTAAAATCATAAATTATAATATTAAAACTCATGTTGAATTTCTCAAGGATTTCACTGGGACTCTGATTAGCTGCTATGAGCTATGAATAATAATAATAATAATAATAATAATAATAATAATAATAATAATAATAATAATAACAACTCTGCCTATATTCCAAAAACATGCAGTAAGGTTTGCATTATCATTTACTAATCCTGGCTAGAAGCAGAGCATCTCTTTCTCTCTGGTGCTGGGAGCCCACGTGTGACCACAGGGGACTTAAAACATCCTACAAACACTCAGATATTGTAAGAGATTCCATGGAAATTCTTCAGATTGATGAGCTAAAAACATCATCAGACATGAGAAAAATCTAAAATCTCTAAAATTGAGAGTCTACCAAAAATCAGTTCTGAGGCAAACTTATTGGCAGCTCAAGTTCTTCTAAGAATTGAAAGAAATCAATCTCCTGCACATTCAGCAGCTCAATTACACAACCAGTAATTAATACCTATTTTTCTGCTCTGATAAAATTACGTGAATATTTCAATATGGAAACAGCCTGCAGATAACTCCTGCTGCACCTTTACAATCCTCACCCTCCTAAAACACTGCCTGATCAACCTCACCTCGTTTCAGCTCAGCTTGAAATGAACATAAAACTTCTGATGTTTTTTCCTTAATAATCTTCCTTCAAACATCTTTTTGAAGGCTTAAAAAAAGAACTGTTTGACAAGATTCTCCCTCACTTGTGGCAAAATTAGAGGAAATAACCCCGCTCAAAACGCCACACATATTTTTACATTATCGTTAAATATTTTTAAGTACCTAGATCATCATAAGTATTTCTGTACTTATGAAGAGTCGGTACTCGAGGATGTGTTTTGAATTTTCTAGAAAATGGATCATCTGCAGTACTGGAATTAGAACAAAATCACCACGTTTAGAACTAGTTTCACTTGGAATTAATGTGACTCCCTGGCATTCAAAGTTTTCCTTGAAGTTCAAAGTCAAAACAATTAAGACACCAAACTGAAAAATATGTAAATTCCAGGAAGGTCCCCCAAAAGTATTACATTAAAAAAAAAAAAAAAGGAGAAAAAAAAAGGAGAAAGAATAGAACCATTTGGTTCCCCAAATTAAACCCCTACTTTATTGTTTAAGAAAATATCAACGTTCTGGCAACCAACAAAGCTAAATGACAAATTAGCATAAAATCCAACCAGCTACAAATAGCCTGAAGGGAGAATTGTACCCAGGAAAGTGGGCCAGCAGCCAAGCTCCATTCATAGTCAAATACCCAGCACAATGGTGTCATTCAGAGTCTTAATTTACACAAGCCAGAAGTTGGCGAGTCTGAAAAAACCACTTTTGTTTGGAGCCGAGCAAACACACCAAAGGAGCGGGGCGAACCTGAAAAACAACTCGAGCAAAAGCGAAGCGGAGCTGGGAAAGGAAGGAGCCTCCTACCTTCAGTGAGCCAGGTCTCCTGGAGCTGCCTCAGGTCGTGGAAGAGCTCTGCGGGGAACGGGCGGGACGCTGAGCGCTCCGGGCCCGGCACCGGGGGAGGCACCGGGGGAGGCGCCGCTCCCGCCCGGCCGTGCCCGGCCCT